GTGCAGTAAGGACGTAATATCACCTGAAAGCAAATAACAAACAACACGTTTTAGATACCGAGGATTTTAATCGTTGTTCTTGTTTTTTTTTATTGCAATTATCTATTTATTTATTTATGTTTGGTAAATTATTTGCATTCAATACTGGTGTTGTTTGCAGGTTTTCTGCAGATCTTTGAGCGAAGTTAATTGGGGTCAACTGATAAAAAAGCTCCATTTAGCACATATTTCACTGTAATTTACTTGAAAGCATTCTCTTAGTTTAATCTAGGCCTGAGTAACTCACTGAATTTTTAGGCTACGCAAATAGTTGGTGCGCTAACCCAACGCACCGGCGCAGTAACTCAGTTCCGTTGCTGAGAAAATTTTGATGACTTTTTACTTGTTTTTAGATTTATTTTAAAGGCCATTAATCAATAATATTTTTAACATTTCTTCAAAATTAAAAAAAAAAACACTCGCCTTCTTCGTCGCTTTGTAAACAGTTTTGGAATGCCTTTCCAGCTTCGAATTTGGAACAAAAATCAAATAATTTTCTATCAAAAAACGAACTGAATATGCGAAAGTTTATAATAGACTATTTGGAAAACTCGTCACTTCCATTCCTCTGACGACTGTAGAGTTTGTTAAACAAATGTGGTTTTTTAGTTTTGACTGACTTTTTTTGCTTTGCTTCCTACTCAAAAACGCTCTATTTTGTAGAGTTTTACCTAAAAGTACTGACGATCTGAATGTATTTCACGCGTAAAAGTACAAGATATATTTATAGCTTTGTAGGAATTTTACAAAATTTGTTTTGGAGTCGAATTCGGGACATAAACGAAAATAAATTTATTCCGTTTTTGCTCGAAAACTGTTAAGGTTTTCGTAAAAACCGATCACAAAACTAAAAATTTTTAACCGAAAACGCAAAAATATACTTTTCTGACAATAATGGGGTTTTTGGATGCAAAAATGACAAAATTGATTTAGCAAGAAAATTTGCCTTATTCATCGATTTGCAGAGAATTTTAGAAAATACTTTTCAGCTGCCAATTTGTCACAAAAACCAAATATTGTTATTCAGTTTTTTACCGAAGGTAATTAAGATTATCTTGAAAAAACGACCAGAGAGCAAAAAAAATATTTTGTAAAATTCGCCAAGATTTTTCAAGTTTCTTTAAAATTCCAGGTCATTCCAGTTTTAGCAAAGTATCTATTAAGCAAGTCTTGCTACGCAAAAAAGTATTATTTTTAGTTTTTACTGACAATGTTCAGGTATTTTCTGTGAAATTTATAAAATAAATTTTATTATTAACAATTGGACAAAACCCTAATAATTTTTTATAGATTTTTTCCCAAAAATATTTCCTCTAATAAAACAAGTGAAAGTTTAGAATCAATTATTCGGAAAACTCGTCACTTTTGTCGCTGTGAATAATTTGGTTTATTTAAATTCCGGTTTCTTCACTTTTAGGTCAATTTTCTAAACAGAACAACGCGTTTTTTATTATTATTAACGAGTCTTTTATGCAAAAAAGTTGAAACATGGATTTTACAAGAAAAGTCATCGTCTTTATAGTTTGGTCTTCTTTGTCGTTTTTTTCGAATACCCGTTTTACTTTGAATTTGGAACAAAATCGAAACAAAGTTATCTTGTTTTTTTTCTACAAAATTTGACCAGAGAAATCAAAAGCATATAATCAATATCTGGAAAACTCGCCAACCTCATCGCTCTGAAATTCTTTAAAGTTTCTTCAAAATTTCCGGATTTTCCCCCGTTTTAAACCAAATAGTTTCAAGCAATAGTATGCGTAAAAGCAATATATTGATGGCTTTTTCTTGTTAGACGTTAAAATTCCATGATCGCCCATGAGTTATAACTCATTAACCAGTGAGTTAAAACACATTAACTTAGAGAGTGGCAACAATTCAAAAGCTCACCTCAACACAGTGTCACCCAGGCCTAGTTTACTCTACTCATATGACCCTGATATGCAAATTCTGTGTAACTATAATCTGTACAGTTTAGTAAAAAATTTAAAAAACGCAACCGAAAATAACCAATATTTTACAAAATATTTGCATCGTCAGCTTTGCAGCGCCCTTGTGTCTCAAGGTTTGGTCAAATGGGTTTAAAAAAGTACAAACATCGTAAAACAAACAACGCAAATCACCTAAAAGTTCACATGGCCAAACACCCTTGAATAATCCCTACAGGTGAAATCAAGCTGAAAGGCTCATTTCGAAACGTCGCAAAGGTCAAGCCAAGTTGTAGGTAACTGACTCAGAAAGTTGTAATAATAATTTCTGTATAGAACTATCCTTTCAAACTCCTTCAGTGAAACATGCAAAACTACAAAATACCTTGCTTTAAGTAGATGCAATTAATTGCTGAGCTGAAAGCTAAATCCTAAAAGCTTTAATTCTGTATTAACCATTTGACCTGGACACTTGAACCTACTATTAAATAAATCGCATACTATATGAAAGTTTCATATGCAAATTCAAATTGATCGCTCCTCAGCAGATTCCTCCTCTATAATAACACTGCAATATGCCTGAAATATGTATCATTATCGAGCTACTGACGGGTGTAAAACAATAAGACGACGTCACACTTGGTAAGGGTGCGTAATAGAAAGTCATAAACCCTGAGAGAATATCGAACGTTTTCAGGTGTTACAGCTAGCACGTGTAGGTTACCATCCCTTTTATTATAAAAATCAGTTACTCTTCAAATGGCACTAATTGTATTATTAACACAATCGGCTTACGTTAATATCATATTCTTATTTCAGGAAGTTTAAGGTCAAGCTGCGGTTGTTGAGTGTTTTCACTGGTCTCACTTAGAGCTCAATGCGGGAATGAATATGGAATAATCTAATATTTTCTTATCTAATTCTGGTCTAGGTTTTGCTAGTTATGTAACGGTGTTTTTGATGGTGTAATGTTCAACTGGTCTACTGAGAGATACTTTGAATGAATGTACCAACAAAGGCTCGTGGAAAAATAATTGTTCTTGTCCCTTTGCAAGCCCGAGTGTAGATCCTTTTGTTCCAAGGCGATCTCCAGCTCAGAATGAAGGCTTCTTAAAGATATTTTTATTCTGTTTCTCCATTTTGTCATTCACATAAATTTCTGGCTCTGTTTCTGAAACCTTTTCTTTCTGATTTTTGCATTTGACTTGGAGGCTGGAACAGATGATCAAGGTATCTGTTAGTATGGGAGACCTTATGGCATTCCTTCTGGCCCAAACGAGACTCTCCAGGATACCAAGTATTTTTATATTTCCATAGTAAATTGTTTATCAGAATGTTCAGAAGATTCAGAAAATTGTCTGTATTGTCGCGCCTATGTTTTCATATTACAGAAGTGTCATTCACATACCGATACCTTCCATGTGTTAGGTATATCCCAATTCTAGTCAAAACTTTTTCATTTTGCTGATGAAGTCTTGATGTGTGTGCACATGGATTTATGTATCACTTTGTATGTTTGTGAATCCTGAGCACTAAACGTTGATCTAAATGGAACTCTTTTTTATGAATTTTTAGTTTTCCATTAACTTATCAGGGCAGGGACTCCAGGTTTAACGATTTTCTTCTGATGGTATCCTTCCGGTATCATTTATTATGTTATATTATCATTTTAGCTTTTTTCTTCTGCTTCTCACCTACTGTCGCCGGACTGTAGAATTTCCTTTGTCGGCTCGCAGAACAACAATGTTTCTTCAAATGAATTTTTCCTTTCCCTATGATCAAAAATCGTTCTAAAGAACTGCAATTTATTTTAATTACCTTTTTAATGGTAACTGCTTAATTAGTATTTAATGTTCACGACTTCAATCGTTAAATTCTTTAAGCCGTTTTCCTCCGTTAAGTCGATTGAATTAAATTAAATTTGTAGAAAACTTTGAATTGGCGATTTCAAAATAGCAAACTGTGCAGTTTTCGTATGGACTATTTGAAAAACAGTTGTAGTAAATTTTATTGTCGCCGCAAAAAAATGTAGTGCCAATATTCCCGGCAATGAAATTAAATTCATACTTTAAAGTCGTATCTCTATACACACAACTTTTCTTTTAAGATTCTTGAAGCAAACGTTTCAAGAAATTGCTGAAAGTGAATGAAAGATGCTTCGATTTTAACTTAAAAAATTAATGTTCCCAAGTTGATACTTAATATCAAACAGGATGGTTTTGTGTTCATCATTTTTATATTAAATTTAATTTTACAAGAAAGCAAATTTTTAAAAGCGGCAAAATATTTGTCTTACTAAAATTCATAGGCAACAAAAACTTAAATATCTAAATATTAACATACAAAAGGACGATACATATAAAGAAGTACATACATCAATAAGAAAATATGTTTTTATCCAGAAAAATTAGGAATGAAGCAAATTGAGCAATATCCCTTTCAACCAAAGATACTAAAATAATTAAATTTAAGTTAAAGAAAACCGGAAGATAAAACAATTTAAAAACAACAAAATTGAGCCCCTACATAATAAAACTATTATTAATTAGTAAAGCTCGGATTTAAAGGCAAGACAATTTGAAGAAAAAGGCGCCTATATAGGCAAGGATTTAAAAAAAAAAGGCAGGCATATTGTGATATAGGCAGCCTGCCTACAGATAAATGTAAATTAAAAAAATATATTTACTGCGTATAATAAACAATTTATATTAGCGCATTCTATTATATAACACATAAAATTCTACAATGAAATACTAGTAATAATTATTTAAAAAAATAGTAATAACAGTTAACTTAGGCATTGTTACTATGTAATATTTTCTCATTTATAGCTACAACTAAGTGCTTTTCTATGTTATCGGTCTTAAAGCACAACCTTC